AAAACGAACAAAGATGCCAAGAGAAAAAAGATTTATCATTTTGTGTTTTTTTTTTTTTTTTTTTTTGTTTTTTTTTTTTGTTTCATCGCTCCCCCAGTCAATAGCAACGATCTCCGTATGTGATTTTATGCCACTCTGCCCTTCAACCACACCGCAAATTAGCAAAAAATATCCAAATCTGCCCATGACCAAAAAACTCGTATATTATAACAGACTAACCGAACACCAACATTCCACGAATGATTGTCCTACGTAACTTTCTGCGCTCTAACACATGACCCTCACTTCATTTCACAGAACTTGCCGAAGTACAATGACTAACCTTAACACCTTAATATACAAAACACCCATTCCTTTGAGCCAAAGCTCAACACATAGTTCAACACCTGATACGACAGGTGACCCCCCAGTTTCGCCTACCGCCCTCACGTCACCATGAATTCCAGCTCTGGCTACACCCGGGTCGCATACCCCCCAACCCAGCTTCCCAGCCCAACCTTGACATTACAAAATACACAACCTTAAGAAGAACTTCCAAGTCAGCAATGACAGTTGATTCACTATTCTCTAAAAACCCGAAGACACTTTAATCACCGTAATACTACAAGTGAACCTCACTTCTTAACCTCCATAAGATAAACTTAACAACCCCTGCTGACTGCTTTTGCCTCCCAATACCAATCCCAACCAACCAAACATCCAGAAAAGCATCCTATATCTCACCCATAATGGACATGGTACAAAAAAACGACAGAGAAAAAAAGCCAGTGAAGATGAAACTGAACCTAACCGAGACATTGAAAAAAAGAAAGATCAAATATCTCAGTAAATCAGGGAAACACAAACCAAAAAAGACATACAACTCATTTGTGAAATGACCATATAAATGATAAAGGAACGCACATTAAATAAACATATTAAATAATAAACCTAACAAAATTGCACAGAACACTAGAAGAGAGAGAAAAAAAGTCCTTAACATCTTTACGAAGAAATACTATCATGTAGAATAAACACAAATCTGCACCAGAGCCACGGCCATATCCTAATCTCTCCATAAAGATACTAGAACCAAAAGGAGGCGGGGATAATAAAGCACACTGAATCATAACAACCAAAAACGTCCATCATCCAAACTACTGAACAGAACTACAGAACCCAAAGATCCATAAACTAAGAAAAATAAAAAATTGGAGAAGAAAAATTAAACATAAACCAGAGAATCACATACCTTACCCTTCCTTATAGAACACTATCAACAGCACATTTCCACAATAAGTGACAATTGAACATTTATAACAACCATATACTATTCGAAATTTGCCAAATCACTTTTCATGCAGACCTAGCCAGAATCACATGCATATCATATCCCCAGGCTGCACTACGTGACGTCTCAGAATCCTTTTTTTTTTTTTTATACCTACAGCTGAGAAGATAGTTGCAGGAAAAAACCCCCAGGAACGTGATTTCCCTCATGAAAACCTGGGATTATGTATGGAAAGTCCAAAAAAACCATTTCATCAGTCAACATGCTCAAAAAATATAAAAGATTACAGTGATAATTTAGCTAGATGGTTCTTCTCCATAGATTACCGCCCCCCTCTGCAAGATTGTACTTAAGAAACACTAGCACACCAACTTTAAGAGGATAATTTACTACGGCCGAAGCATAAACGCACAACAGTTTGAATCCTTCTCTGCTAAACATCATATCGCTCAACAATGGGGTTCTGAAAAGCTCATTACACAATGGCATCATTGTGCAAACATCATAGAGGCTTCAAAAGTAGATTGTAACCTACTGCACACCCTTAGGGCAATGCCCTATTGCTCCTAGGCTACGAAACCCTGTATAGCATTACGACTCAATTACTGAGAGAAATAAAGCCATGAATTGCTTATCTAAGCATATCAACAAGAAAAATACAATAAAAGGGCATAAGTTTCACAAAAAGCAACCATCGTGAAGTGAAATTAGAGCCAGAAGGAACAATTTATTTATCACCATAAAGTCACAAACAGAAAAACAAAAAAGCAAAATATAATGAACAAAAAACCCCACAATTACTCAAAAAGACAAATTGTTAAAAGAAACTTAGTCTTATAAAGATTAGAAAAC